TAGTTGGTTATCACGTATCGTTAACACCGATAAGGTCGCCGGATCGAGCCCGGCACTGGTCACTTGTATCTTTTTTTTTTTTTTTTTTTTTCTGAACCTCCACGTTCTACTTCATTCCCCCGTTGAAGTTTTGCCTCAACTTATCCGTAATAGAAGATGGGGCCATAAAAATTTGACTTAACATAATTCCTGTCGTGCACTGCTGATTGTGGTCTCTAATCATTCATAATCCCATCACCTCCCCGACTCGCCAGGCATAGGATTACGTAACGTTAACAGTTAACCCAAAGGCTTCTCGGCGCTTGACAATATTTTGGTGTTCTCACGGCTGACGTTGGATATGAACCAGTTCTGGGAGAGTACATGATAGTACGACGACCTAGGAGGGGAAGGAAAAACAAAAACAATGACCAGTGCCGGGCTCGATCCGGCGACCTTATCGGTGTTAACGATACGTGATAACCAACTACACCAACCGGCCAATTGTTGAAGAAAGTCGTTCTTTTTTTAAAATAGAAACCTGAACAGATATGACAATCTTCGTACGCACCGCTACTCCGTATGATCTTCTTATTATCATGTATGGTAATGCAGGATGCGAAATTTGATTTCCCTGCTGGACGCAATAGCGCCCTGAAAGCGTCATGTGTGCTGATCTACTTCTCAATGCATCCTCCCCAACCACAAATGACTCAACATCGTCAGTTCTTATGAGTTGATACAAGTATTGTTCGGTGTAGGGGCAGTTAACCCTCCCGACTCTTCCCAGATTCTGTAGCCATTTATTACAGCATTCTGTCACATAGGCGAGCATATGCCAGTATGATAAGGTAGGTATCGAGTAGTATTGCCCGCCAAGTCCCGTGGAGGTCTTATTCCCGGATGGTTGAATTGTTTGGATGGGAGATATGCTGGTTTTATGTCCTTCAGGCATAACCTCTCTACGTGTGGATTCATGAGTTGGATACAAACTGGTTTGCAGTAATCAGCATTCGAGTAAGTGGGCACCACCATGCATGTACTTGACCTGTCCACCATTTCCCTGCTGGTATAATACTGCTCCATGATAGATCTGTGTTCATCCGAGCCCAGTCCTGTCAGACAATATGTTGAACGGGCCTCATTACCAGGTTTAGAACGGCGAGGTATCACGAGAAGGGCTTTGAAGATAATAGTCTAAGAGGTTGTACGTCCTTTTGCCCCTCCATTCTTTGGAAACCACGCTACAAGCCTGGAGGGATTTTCGAATCCGCTCCGCAATTGGAGACATGAGGTCGAGTTCTCATTGAGTGGAAATGAAACACTAGCTACCTGGACTTAGGTTACTGTTATTTAATGGGGTATATAAAGATGAAGACGCAAAAAGTAATGACTAGTCCCGTAGCGTATCATTCCTCGTCAATACATGTCTACCTTAATGTAAACTTGTCTATCTAGAGTCAACGTACATTGCCATCAGTATCTACAAAAGCTCATGAGATACGTCAGACAACGTTGCCAAACGCACGCCCAGATTTATGGGTATACCGGAAACGAGTGACGCAAACCGAAATCAAAAATGCAGAAGCCAGACCAGCTGAAAAACAAATGGAAAATCGCACAACCACCGCTGACCGAGCAGTCGACTCCGAAAATCATACTATATACAAGCATCCGGTGCAAGGCCAACGTCAAGACGTCGCACAATAACAGAACCGCTATCTAATGGCATGGCTCGTCATAAGCGTATTATATTATATCATCGTAATAATTTGCATGTTCAATGGAACAAGGCAAGGACGGGGGTCAAAGTTTGGTACCCTCCCGTCCGCTATCGCTCGGTCTCCGGGGTCTGAGCAAGCCTGAGGATGGACCAGACGTAGACGGTCCTAGCTGGCCAGTCCTGCTCTCGTCATTGCTATTGCTGCCATTGTTTTCGCGCACACCAATAGTTCGATGGCTCTGGTGTAGACGAGGATTCATCAGCCATTGGATCTGCATGCGAATACTGCTCACAGCAGCATTTGTGTGCGCCATGTCTTCCTTTATACGGAGACACTCATTCATAATCGCCATGCTCGCGCGAGCGTCTAAATCGGTGATTGCGTGCGAAAGCTGACCAACTTCTTCTCGAAGAGACTCGTGCAGGGCGAGTAGATATGTCGTGGTGGCGGCATTAGAAGATATTGCACTAGAATGATCAGCGCGTGATTGACTACCCGACAGGGGCGGAGAGCCCGATGACCCTGGCTGCCCCGAAGAGCTTGACCGTGTCTCTGTGTTGTGTCCAGGAAGGGCATGTGAAGCATCAAGTAGGGTAGAGCGAATGTTGGCGATCCCGTCCTCAAAGATCTCATTTCGCTGCTGAAGATGGCGGATGGTCAATTCCAGGGAGTCAAGCCGGGTATTCTGAGCTTCGAAATAAGGGCCCATAGCGATGAGTGGACAAATTTGCTCATGTGTCGCCAGGTCGGCCCGCTTGACTTTAACGGGGCATCCATATTTGGATGCGGCACAAGCATGTATTGCCTCCGGGCAGGTTTCAATATGATCCCTCAACACTTTTCGAAACACTGTTGTTTGACAGTCGGGACAGGTTGTTCTCAAGCTGGGGCACAATTCTTTTACATGCTCCTGGATTAAACGGAAAGAAAATCAGGTTAACCACAAAATAAGACAATCGTCAGGGCATAGCACGAACCTCGTAATCCTGCTCCATTACCTCCTCCTCGCAACGAGAGCACTGGTGCAGCTCATGCATGCATTTTTTATCGGGACTAAGATACTTCTTCCTGGTCTTCTTGTCGCAAAGTGTCCCCGGGCAATCCATGAGCCTATACCCACAATATTTATCGACGTGAGCCTGAACATGACCTCTCGGTACAATTTCCTTGCAACCCTCGCTCGAAAATGGGCACTTTACTCGTACATCGTCGCACATATTGATCAATAGTCGAGGGACATTGAGGTAGACATCTCGAGTCGGCGTGCGGCAGGTCGGACATGTGAAATCATCTCGACCAGCGGCAAACGTGGTAATGGCGGAATATAGGCATTTTTGGCAGAAAACATGGTCGCACTGCAAGCGAACCGGTCGAATAAAGGGACAGTGGCATATTGCACACATAAGATGGTCGTCATAATTGGAGACATACTCCAGAGCACGCAGGTCAACGATCTCGTCGCGGTCGCAGCTCGACTCCATCATCACAAGCTCCTCGAGGTTCATAGTCGGCAAAAGTGTCCGGTATCTGTCGCCTTCAGTCAAACGGCTCCGTTTAATAGGGATATGCAAGACACCGCAGGGATCAGGTGTGATCAAAAAGGGAGTTATAAAGAAATGATCGTCTGTCGAGTTGCCCTGGAGGTCCGAAGATGAAACGATAACTATGACAGCAACCCATCAGGGTCACACGGTGGCTGCAGTTGGATTGAAGATCTCTGTGTGATACGTACAAACGCTGGATGAACTTGAGGCTTGCAGACGAGGCGAAAAAGGAATGTTGAGAAAAGGGCTGAAACAGCATCGGATGGATGGAAAGAGGGTGATCACCAGCGATTGCCATTATTATTGCGGGGTCCAGATGATGCGGAAAAGGCAGATCAATCCGTCGCCGGCCGAGAGTGCCTCGTCCAGTCCATCCATCATTGTCAACCACTATCCCCATCAACTACTTATCCAGGTCGCGAAGTTTCCCCCTTCCACCTCCACCGTCTGTATCCACTGTCAAATCAGCTTCTCACCGACAGAGGCCCCTACGTGACCTGTCGCTGACGCCTGCGCCGCGTTCCTCCTTTCACATTCCATTCCCCGGTACTCAGCCTCAGGGCGTCTCCGCATTATTGCCTCATCGGCGCTGGGTGTCCCGGTCTCATCTTCCAGGCTTCCCACGGTCGTTATACCTGTCACATACCTCGCCCGAATTGAGGTCGCAACTGCCGTTTCAAGATGCCGAACCCATCTCAGTTATTCCTCCTTGCTGATCACATCAAATTGTCGCTGTTGGAGCGACAACGAGCGATCTCACTGAATCTGGAGCCCAATAGTCAGGATGGAGAAATCTCCCGCTCTTTAGAGTCTCTGCGGGATGGCATTGAATCGGTAGAATCGGAAGTGTCGCGTCTGGAGGAAGCGAACGACGATGGCGTCACTGATCTTAAAGATCAGCTCCTTCATCTGCAATCACAATATCGCGACCTCTCATCCCAGTTTCACGAACAGGACGATTCGGCCTTGGACTCGGATTTCAGTAATGTCAAAAAGTCGTCTCCAGACCTGAAACAGCCGATTCCACAGCATCCGCCTTCCAAGTCTGTCCGATTCATGGACTCCGCAGCGGAAGAGGCTGATGAAAATCGTCGCAACCTCTTTCAGCCATACCGCGACTCGCCTTCTCCAAGTCTGGACCACTCCAACATGTCAAATGAACAGATTTACGACCATCACGCTGAGACCCTCCGCGAGCAGGATGAACAGTTGGATCGGCTTGGGGAGTCAATCGGGCGACAGCACCAGCTCAGCATTCAGATTGGCGACGAGCTGGAAGGACACGTCGCACTGCTTGATGGCATGGATGGTGATGTCGACCGGCACCAGAGACGATTAGATGGCGCGAGGAAACGGCTGGATAAGATCAGAAAGAGGGCGGGTGAGAACTGGAGTATGATGACCATCATTGGTCTGATTATCATTCTAGTCATTCTGATTGTGATCTTGAAATGAGCGGCTGCCGTAGATATCCGGATGGTCTTATGGCTCATCTCTCCCCTTCACGAATACTTGCTATTTTTATATGACCTGGTGTTAAGGCGAACATGGCGTCTGTCTGCTTCTTGTCCGCGACGTTTGGAACTCCCCATACATGGTATCCGAGCCTCCCTGGTGCGTTAGATGGAATTGTCTTACCTCGATACAATTTATTACGCTTCTTGATTGATCCTTTATCGATATCCTTCTGTCGTTGATATGAACTGTTGATCTGATAACGTTCATACATTGCATTTCTGGCATAATTTCTTAAAATACACGATAACATGCAAACTCCCATGAATTACCGAATCTCCCAACACCCGAATCGAGAGTCGCCTTCCACTTCCGGAGTACTAGATAAGAGGAATCTATTGAGACTTGTTCACGGGGCCACTCCTGTTCGGTAGATCCTTGGTGCGATTTTGGAGTGATTCGAAGTCCTTATCGTCGCTGTCAAGCTCGCCGCGGTCCGCCTTGACCTGATACCAATTATTAGTCAATGGTTTACTTCCGACCAAATTGACTGGCCCTTACCGATGCCTCACTGTTGCTAGCAAGCTCGCCCTTCCACTTCGCCTTGCCCTCCTTGGTACTCTTCAGCTGATCTTGCTTCTCAGCCTCGTAGAATGAGTCCAGGTCATCGCGGTCTGCGCTCGCACATTAGTCATTCGCAATTTGAGGAGCAGATAGAAGGATGAAACTGACTCCGATCCGACTCTTTCAAGCCCAGGCGAGCGGCAGAGTTGTGGAAGGCCGAGACGGCCGTGTAGCCTGGTCTGATGGCCACGCGGGGGTTGATCGATGCACGTACGGAGGTGAGGAACGACATGATGATTGTGGGATGTGCCTCTGCTTGAGAGTTCCGTTAGTATACAACCTTTGCAGCTTATGAGTGATATAGTCATGGTTGTGTGGTGCGAGTAATATCCCAAAGACGCTGTTCGCAATTGAACGGTGGGAGGCAAGAGTATTGCTTCAGTATCAATGGCTCCAACTCACCTTCAATGTGAACCAGAATAAGACAAATATATACTCTGTTTGTGTCGGATATATACTAGTAGGAAAAGATAAATTGTCACTAAATCAGAAGTGAGGCACACATCAGTAGCGGGAGACGAGACGACTTTAAAAGTAAAAGCGAAAACGCATACGCAACGCCCAAAGAATGCAATCCACCTCGGCCAAGCTTGACTGGATCCCTCGGGACGATAGTAATCACGATAATTATCACTTGCTGCGATTATGTGCACCCCCTGGGTCTTCTCCATAGGGGCAACGAAAATGCCCACATCTTGCGGGTGGGTGTCAGTGATGACGTCAGTGCTACTCAATCGACCAGCCATCTTGGGATGGACTGGGGAATGGACGAAGGGAACTTCATTATTAGCAATAATCTGTCACTCTATATATAGCAGTCAGTCCGTTCTGATATGGTAAGTAGATGCTGTTGTTGTCTAGTTACCTCTCTGGTCGCGAGTCCATCTTTAGAGACATGTTCTTTTGCTGCTTGACCTGATAAGGGCGGTGATATATCCTGTCGGCCTGGCCATCCTCAAACACCCTCTCTACCAGCAGCGTCTGGCAAGTGACAGTGTAGGCAATGACATCATGTATATTGGCTTGAAACTGGATTTCATGTCATGTTCCATGCATCAAGGCACATATATTGTAGAATAACCTCTGCAATTCCCGTCCCAGTACAATTTACACATGCTTAACTCCTAGACATGCCGGATGCTATCAAATGCAATCGCCCATGCTTTCTTTCAGCTGGTCATCATCGACATGTGCTTCTCACTGCTAATTCCCATGTCGATTTCTAACAATCGTCGAAACTGGACCTAGTTGCCCTTAACACACATAAATTGGGCGTCACAGCCTACTGCGTTGCTAGACCTTCATACAGCAATTACCAACCTCTACGCGACGGTGACCTGATGCCTACACTGAACCGGGCCCGTGCCAATGACCTTGATCCGGTTTTGATAAACAGTGCTTCGATCATTATGCATAGGACTGAGCTTGGGTTCGGCAGCAAAGACACGATCAAGGAGAGAAGGTGAGAATGGCAACCTGAAGAGAGGCTTTGAAAAGAATCATACATTTGAATGATGGTAAGTACTCTCCGGGAGAAGCTATGACAGAAGTAACATCCAAACGAATCAACGTGGAAGCGTAGAGAATTTAAGAAATAATGACACAGCAACGGAGTGAGACCTTTTTTTTCTTGAAAGGTAAGTGCGGCATGGTTAATGGCTTTCCAGCCAGAGACCATCTAGGCCAGTTGATCAATTGCAGCGGAGCAATGAGCACCACCAGACTCCGACTCTCAATCAATTTACAGGAAAGAAAAGAGAAATCCAAAGAAGTTGAGAAGAGTAAAAATGAAACAATTGCAAGGACATATGGGAACAACGCCCGACGAGAGTATGGATGTCACCGACAGAAATCCCAATCAGAACCAATGATATCAACCCAACAATGCAGACGTATATCGTTTCCGCCTTTCTAATCCATTTGAAGCATGAGTATTCCGTCCCGCCCAAAAATCAATAACCCCAATAATAAGCAATATCCGAGGATGAATCGGCAGAAACCTGAACGTATCTGACACAGTCGCCATAGCACACCGAACAGAAGCAACTCCGGACCATAGACATGAAAGCGCCAAGCCGCGCTTCTATCATCATCGCGGCCATACCCCGAGGCCAAAAAGGAATATTTTTTTTTTTCCCTAACCGGAAGATAAAACAAGGTATCGTGTGTGTGAGAAAAGAATGCAAAACTAAAGTCGAATCGCAGGCGCCGTCGCTCGCAATAGGATGAAGCATAGCAGAGAATCTAATAGAAGTGCTGTAGGTCGTCATCGGAGAAAAGTGTATATACAGAAAACACTAGTTTATCCTCTTAGGTTTCTTGCGCTCGTAAAAGAAACTTCGGTTGAGTCGTGATAAGATGCGATGGTCGTATGGAAGTAGGTACCAGAAGAATTATGACCGGCGGTTAGGGAATCGCGATGATGCAGAAGCTGAGACAGCAGAAGAGAAAACATGCCATGACCGGAGGTCTCTGTCACTGACATGGCGACCTGGCAGATAGCAGTCCTCACCACCGCCGCTGAGCATTCTGCATCGCACCAGGCGAAATGGACGTAGGTGGGCTGGTCAATGTCATTCCGGTGTTAGGGTTGACGATGGGAATGACTTTGCGAGTGCGGACCGCCGACGGCTGTTGGAAGCTCATATTAAGATTACTGGTAACCCCTGAATGCACGAATGAATTGGTAGATGCGGGAGACAAGGAGATGGATGGCGCGACCTGCTGGACAGGCTGAATCTGGTGCTGAAGAGGAGACGAGTCGGGAGAACCGCTGGAGAGCGACGACCGATCCGAGGAAGCAGAGTGAATTGAGTGTAGCTGTGATCTCCGGTGTTAATAAAATGCCTCGAATTTAGCTGGTTGGAGGGGTCCTAGGCGCTGGGCCAATATCTGAGGGAACGGGAGGTCCGAGAACTGGGCTGTCATAACATACATCGTCCTCTGTAAGGAGACCCGGGCAGAACTCCAGGTCGTCGTCCAGGTCGAAAGACCGTCCAGCTTCAAACCGTGCGCGGAAAGCAGTCACAGCAGGGGCTTCAGCAAGTTCCCTCATACTCTTCACACCGCGGAATTGACGTTGAGCATTCTGAGATGCCATCTTGGGCCCTCTACGGGAGCGGCCACTATGATGGTTGTTCGACGATGGCATGTGGCTAGTAGCACCCTGATGGTGGTGCTGCTGGTGGTGATGCTGGTGATGGCCGTAGAAGAAAGTAGACATTTTGATGTGATATGTGGTGGCGAATAGAGGGACAGATGTAAGTTAATGTTACTGACTCAGGTTTTCGAGGTGATTACAGAAAACCAGCACAACTCGATACCTGAGGACAAGAAGAACGTTTCGAAAGGCGAAATAAAGGGTATAGACGGAAGTGGGAATGCAAGTATATAAGACAAAGATACAAAGGGGATGTGGTAATGATAGTACTAAAGGAAGAAGAGTGGAAGTTGGGGGGAGTGAGAGCGAAAGGTCGGGTCGAATTTGTGTTTTAGTTGGTTGTGGGATGGGGAATCATGAATCGATGGGCGGGACAAGAGGTAGAAAAGAAAGAACCGGGAGCGAAGAAAAGGGAAGACGATGCTCAGAGCGGACGGAGGCAACAGGCTAGGAGGGGCTGCAGTTGTTTTGCTGGGGCTGAGTGAGTCCTCAATCCTTAGGAGCTGGTGGAGCCCTTGCAAAGGCAGTACCAGATCAGTACACTGTTTACCATACAGTCAACCTGGCACGTAATAATGAAGTTGGTCCTGACGAGGGACTGTATGGTAATATCTGCGTTTCACGTTCGGCGCTAACAAGGTCACGCAGCACTCTTAGGGCAACCAAAATCCAACCAGAAGTCCGTCCGCGGCATTTGAGTGGCAAGGTGGGAACTAGGAAGCCCAATGGTATCCATTAAAGGAGCTGCAAGTGGAGAGTAAACAGCCACTTCGAATAAAAGCCAATAGTATTGCTCTAGCTTTTCTAAAAGCAGTTAGTGAGTGGTTCTAGTGACGTCTTTTTTAGTTACAAGCTAATCTTATTCTGGCAAATTTATCTCCTCCCGTCTCTGCACTGAAATCTGGGCTTGCTTGATTGGGTTTAGCGGGCAATCCTGAGGCGATACTGTCATTACGTACTCGATGGTACAGCTGTAGATGGGCGAAGATGACGAGTTTCAAGGTAATGTTATTCAGCCTTTATTTTCCTGCTTCTAGTTTTGGTATCTGTAGACTGTTGGTATGAAGATCAATAATGTTCCTGCTAATGACTGTTATTCATTAAATACAAAATGGTGCAACACAATGATGATTATGCATAGGTACTTTTATGCTCTCCTCATGTAGACTTCATGTCTGTCAGTACTTGCACACGGGTTGCCGCTGGTGGATGTACAGGTAGCATTTTCTGGCTTTCATGGAAGTTTTAGATCCTCAAAGCTATTATTGACATCCTGCTATTGTCCTTTGACTATTCCTGGAGGAGTAAACAAAGGAGAGAATGTAGGTAAGGCTGAGGACCGTAAGGTACTGGTATGACAGACAGGCATGCGTTGCAACCTGCAACCTTGAAAGCAGCAGCCAGCAAGCGCCATTCCCCCCCTCGGTATCTGCGGGTAATGATTGCACTCCACCCGCCCTTTGTGCTTTGATTCGTGGTTGTTTCTCTCGGCAAGGTACCATGACTTAGGTTCTCTTGAACCGTGCCATCTGGTCTTAGGCTTGGACATCTGGTCAACAATAACAACGTCTGCAAGAGCATAAGGTATGTACCGTGCGTACAGATATTGTTCGCCAGAGATCCAGAAGTAGACCTTCCAGCGCCAATTTGAGATATTTTATATGTCTGAGAGAAGTTCTTGACCAGGTACCTTGCTGTCAAAGTAGGTTGAACACATCTCTTCCAGAAATCGGAAGGATTAGCTGCCGTTGGAGTCGATCAACATAAGTACTCATGATTCGTACAATCAACCCAAATTCGAACCATACGTCCTCTTGGTAACCAATATCGGAATACGAAGAAGATCCTCACAAAAGGTTGTATGGGGTTCTAAAGTTAATTTAATGCCCATCCTTGGATACTCTATGGAGATGTCTCAACTGATAAGGGTAGAGAGATAATCGCTCCTTCGAGCAGAAACGTGTAGAATCATGCTGAGCGTGGCAAACAGAGAAACATCTTACTCAACAGCGGCTATTGAAGCACTTCACAGCGGCATATCTGCTCACAGAACGGAGTAGGTAGGATCATGCATGCCATCGGACCATACAACCCCTCTCCTCTCTCCTTGCGCTACTGCACTTCGACTCCTGGGGATCAGGATGTGTTTCTTCTTGTTTCTCCTGGGTGCATGGGTTGGGCACTAGTCTCAATGGTCATTGGTGCAAAACGTTCCCTCCTGCATAATGCATGAGCTGTTAACATCATTTCAAATTTATCAAAGCTATGTTCTATGTTTATGAACTTGGTCGGTGATAACTAAGTGTAGGCAGTCTCTAAGTACTCCATGGTCGTCTCACCGCTCCTTCCATCATTTTATGATTTGGGGTCTTACGATGGGAGTTTCAGCCTTCCGAAGTCTCCTTATCGAATGTGAGGGGTCCCAAGACAGGACGAAAGAGTTACCCCTCACAAGGTCCAAACCTTGTTTGCTATCCTGCTTGTTCTCCATATCGTTATGATCAATCTCATGGCGATTGTTCGGTCCATCCCTCTCAAATCCAGCACTGACGTACTTGAGCCAATTCAAGGTGACGCAGTGGGAGGTATCCAATTTCGTCAGAGCCCAGTGCCATCTTCCTACTTTTCATGATGGATGCCCATCAAAATCAGTTCTGTCGTTCTCAATATGCGGGCCTGCACTTGACACTACTGTTCTTACACTGACAGAGCAGCTACCCTGATTCAAGATATCTGCAAAATTTGATAGTATTTCCGGATTCGCACGGCTTACCCTTCTATGCTGTGAAGAAGGAGCCACAACAATGTGTTCAACCGAAGCAATATTCTCAAGGACCACCTAAGGGGAGATTCACACGTCTCACTGCTTTCCGGGGCGTTCTCAGCTCGGGAATATGACAGCCGCGATGGCAGTGACGGAACATTACCAGTGACTAAAAGCGCGGCATCTCGTTAATAACCTTCTGAACGAATGAATACTCCCCCTGTCGGCGAATCACTGGCTAGCAACCATTGCTATACATGGTCTGCTTCAGCTAGCAGTTGCACACGATCAGCTAACTAAGCTAATCACTTTGAATAGCCGGAAGTACAGCCATTGGAGCCAGATGAAGTAGCCAACTCCTTCAGGGAGTTGTGGGAATCGAGAAAACTCGGCAGTCGCATTTAGCAGGAAGGGAGGAAAAAGTAACCCTTCCAACTTCTTCAAGATACTATAAGGTAGCAGGGTATGATCTGGTGATGATCGCGTACAAAGCAACAAGTCCCGAAGGGTGCATATAATTTAACCACCCTGTTAATCCTAGGTGACTTAGCACGGCTGAGCAGACGAAAAGCCCTGTTTTCCACACCCTGTGGCCGTAGATGCTATAACATTGCTAAGCGAGCCACGAGAGGATCTTAATTGCATATCAAAGCTATGGGCCCGTCATGTCGAAATGACCAATATCGCTAAGATTGAGATAGCGAGCACACTATCATGCTGCGAGTGAGCAAGGATAAACCGAGCTTATGGGTATATGTCCGCGACCTGCTAAATGACCGAACAAAAGAATAAGCCAAACTTGCGCCTAGAACGTGCGAATGCAGCAACTGAAGACCTTGAACGCCCTTTTAATGTGCGTGAAACTAAGATCAAATGCAGACCGGCGTTATTTTTCCAGATTTTTGGTTTTGACCATCCGCCCGAGTAGCTCCTTGCAAGTCTTCTCGCTGTATTGCTCCCAAACTTCATACAGAGACACCAATTCCTGGGTGCATTCGATGACTCCTTTGATGTCGACTTCACTCTCAGCAAGCCAGCTGATAAGTTTCTGAATTTTGGGAGGAGGCCCGGAACCAGTCCGGTCTCCTAATGCAGCTAGCACATTCATTCCACCATCCCTCATTGCGCCGGCGAGGACGGGCGCCGCAGACCCGTGAAAATTTCCCGAACTTGGCTTGAAGACAACTGCGACAATGATCGCCATGACCGCAATGACATGAGGCGCGTACAGGAGAGGTAGGTCCGTCAGGTAATGATCATTGATCACAGACCATGCAAGAGCAACCTCATCCGACGTGAGTGACAATTCGGGTTGAAGCTCTGATAATGTTCGATATGGATGGTGCACAATGAGTTGCGAATTCATCTCTGATATCAGGGAGAATTCACATTCGCCTAGTTTGGAAACATCCGGAGTAATGAACTCTGATATCTGTTAGCGATGGTACGCAAACCGCATGTCGGATGCTATACCTGGCCAGAGGCTCCGGGCTTCCCCGACAACAAAACGGATATGTTGCGGACACTCTTCCATTTTGCAGGCGAGATAGAATGCAGTCGTAAGAACAAGGTACGGATTTGTATGCCTGATCTCATTCTTCGTATAGAATCGCTTGATATATACCTGAGCAGTCGCAAGAGCTTGCTGCCTAGTTGACATTCGCTTTCCAAGTTTTATAAGTTCTGCTTGTAATTAGCCCAACCCTCTTCTTAAGATACATATCGGGCTCTCGCTTACGCTGACTGAAATAGATATTGAGTAGTCTCTGGTCCGGTAGAGGGAACTGAGAATGAGCAACTTTATCGCTTTCTCGAAAGATTTCCCGAATCTCCACCAATTTCTCTCTTGTAAACAGCCAATGTCGACGCTGGGTCGACGCCCAATAATTGGCCGCCATTTCCGAATTTGTGATCAAGCACCTGAATATTGCCTTATTTCTTCAGGTTGATGGATTCATCATGATGGCACTAGAGATAACAACTGATATGGGGCATATCACTCGTAACCAGAGCACCATGAGAGTCGACTTGACACAGTGGAGAAGCACAGATGAAGCTGACTTGAAGGATGACTTGAGATCAAGTATCCAAAGAACGATCTAGATATATTAGACAGCAAGAAATCTCGCATGCAGTTCATCATCACTTGTTATGCCCTTTCGAACACATGTGTAATCTGCCCGGAGTGAAAGCTTTCCCAAAGGGGACTAGTAGGGTTGGGCCCTCTGGTCTCGTGAACCGGGCCGGAACCTGCTTTTCTTCCGGCTGATGTCGTAAGTAAAGCAAATCATCGCGGCTGGATTTCTCATGGCGAGTTGTGTTGGGCTTGATTTCATTAACAACTGGAATAATAATGCACAGCATATAGCGGTTTTTCCTTCATATTGCAACGCCCACGGATTCGATGCACCAGTCATTGCGAAAATTTACAAACCCCTGCCCTCACAGGGAAAGCTCCGACCTTAAATTTCTGTGACCTCTCTGAAAATAATGACGGGTCCTCGGCTATAGTCGATAAACATCGAACATGGCAATCGGCGAGTCCAAAGATGAACGTGACCAAAGAGTTGCAAAACTCTGGGAAAGCCTGGACGTCCAGAAAAAAGGTCAACTCGATATCAATGGCTTGAAGAAGGGGTTCAAGAGGATTGACCATCGTGAGCATACTCCCTGACCGGATCCCGTGCGCCTTGACCAGCTGACTGACCTGGGCTACCGCAATCTTGACAGCTCTGAAAAATGCGGATGACATGGTACGAAATATCTTGCAGACGGTCGACACCAACGGCGATGGATACATAGACTTCTCTGGTAAGATCATACGGACTTTGTCAGGAGCTTTTTTTCTCTCTCTCCGTGCTGCAAACTGGTTTAATGCCAGTTTTTTTGACCCGCCTAATGATGATTAGAATTTCGAGCTTTTGTCGACCATACCGAGCACGGGCTATGGCAACTCTTCCAGAGCATCGATCGCAACCAGAATGGAGTGATAGACAAGAACGAACTGAGGGCTGCCTTTTCCCGTTCTGGGATCACGTTGTCTAGCGCTAAACTAGACGCCTTCTTTGAGGATGTTGACTCAAACAAGGATGGTGTCATTTCATATCCAGAGTGGAGGTATGTGCATGAAGGGTCAGATGAAGTTGCTAGTGATGACTGACCGTTCAACCTTAGGGACTTCCTTCTATTTCTTCCCGCCCACTCGCCGTCCGACCTGCACGCCGTTTTCTCATATTATACGGCCACGGGCAATCTAAACCCGGAAGGAGATGTCCACATCAATGATCTGCAGGGTTTAGGTACAGACCACTCGTTTCTTAAGCGTTATCTTTTGGCCATCAAAGACATTTTGTACAATATCTTCCCTGTGCACGCTTTGACAGCCTTGGTTCCATCAGCTTACGCCGAAGCCGGCGGGACGTTATTGTTGGGCGCCGCGTTAGAGCATGATTCTCTCCCTTTAGACGATGACTTCGAGTTGGAGTGGCTGCCCATACCCAGGACTGTCGCCATGTGGATGTCCTTCCGATATGTTGAACAGAAGTTGACCGAGAACACTCCTCAATTAGGTTATTTTCTTGCGGGCGGGATCGCAGGCGCCGTATCAAGAACAGCCACCGCGCCTTTAGATCGACTTAAAGTTTATCTTATCGCCCAGACTGGCGCGAAGAAGAGTGCTGCTCAGGTGGCGAAGGATGGTGCTCCCTTGAAGGCAGCTGGCTGTGCTTCCAGGACACTTGTCGGTGCGGTAAAGGAGTTATGGCGTGCTGGGGGGATACGGAGCTTGTTTGCCGGTATGTTAACTGCTTATAGTGTCGCGGAATCTACTGACAGCCAAAAGGCAACGGCTTGAATGTCGTTAAAGTTATGCCCGAATCAGCCATCAAATTTGGAGCCTACGAGGTATGACATGATTGTCCACCCAAGCAAGTTTCGGTCAGCAATTAATGATATAATGAATAGTCCGCAAAACGTGCCTTCTCTCGTCTTGAAGGACACAACGATCCTAAACGACTCCAGCCTACGTCGCAGTTCCTGTCCGGTGGATTTGGTGGGATGGTGGCCCAGTATGTGACGCTATCTCCCCGCAAAACAGTGTTATCTAACAGTGATGTAGATGCTTTGTCTACCCTCTTGATACCCTCAAGTTGTAAGTTCTGGTGGTCCAGTAAAAATATTTCATTCTAAAGCTAACTGACCCCGTCTTAGCCGAATGCAATGTGACACCGTCGAGGGTGGCTTGAAAGGCAATCAACTCATCGCGGCTACTGCTCGAAAAGTGTGGAACAAAGCAGGCCTCCTGGGCTTTTTTCGTGGGTTGCCTCTAGGCCTCATTGGCATGTTTCCTTACGCCGCCATCGATCTGTCAACTTTCGAATATTTGAAACGCGTTCTCCTTGCACGGCAAGCCCGGATTAACCACTGCCATGAAGATGATATTCCCCTCAACAACTTCACCACAGGAGCAATCGGTGCTCTGAGCGGCGGGTTCAGCGCTTCCGTTGTTTACCCACTGAATGTCCTTCGTACCAGACTACAGGCCCAAGGCACTGTACTTCACCCCACAACATACACCGGTATCGCTGATGTTGCGCGAAAAACACTCCAAACTGAAGGCCCCCGTGGCTTTTACAAAGGACTTACGCCAAATCTTCTCAAAGTAGCACCCGCCGTGTCGATCAGCTACGTTGTATATGAGAACTCGAAACGAATGCTTGGACTGAGATAACGCCTCAGACCACTGGTGCGAAGAATCGCTCTTCGCTTCTCGCTATCCCTTCTAATTTCCCTTTTTAGAATATTTTGTCAAGATACCCATAAAGCCAAGTCAAATAAGTGGCAAGCCTTTTCTCTCGGTTGGGACTCCCTTGCCTGCCTTCTCCGTTTATCGGCTTTTGTTCCATTTAACCATTCGAACTCTCTCTTGTTTCTGAGCCTATATTTTGTGCATTGACATCGCGATGCGACTCATGGGACTCATGGTCCACCGCTGATGGTCATTTGAGGACGGTTTTGCATAGCGACCACCCTTAGCGTAGCAAGGCGTCGCGTGGTAATGCATATGGTGGCGTTTGTCCATATTTTTTTGCATTCTGTTTCTTCATTCTTGTATAACCAAGGATACCTGCGGGTCCTACTGGAAAAATCTGGAACAATGTATCTACATTTCATGCTTCACAGCGTCTACTTCTGACTCAGATAACAAGAGATTAGATCTATCTGTCAAGGGGACTCGAATTCTTTTATCCAATTGGAGTATGCTGTGACATGTAATCCCATAAGATTGTCCATCAAATACAGTAGTAGGTCCTTAATTTACTATCGTGCCGCAACCGCTCTCACCTCTTCCTCTTTAGGAAGAATGTCTGGAACCGGCCCGACAGGAGTAATAGCAAACTGATTGATCTGCTTATGACTCTTTGTATAGTGTTTCTTAATGTGCTCAAAATCCGTCGTCTGCCGGAACGCGGGAATATCCCAGTAAAGGCGACGCAACCAGCGATGGATGGCGGGGTACCCGGAGCGAATATCACGAATGTTACACTTGAAGTGCTGCACGTAGACGGGGTCAAAGCGGACGATAGTCGTGAAAAGTCGGATATCGATCTCGGTGATGGATGAGCCGAAGAAGTACGGGGAGTTGGCGTCCTTTGAGAGATGGGCTTCGATCCTGTCGAGGGAGGCGAAGAGGGTCGTCACAGCCTTTTCGTAGGCTTCTTGTGTCGTCGCAAAACCAGACTTGTAGACGCCGTTGTTGACGTCGTTGTAGGTCCAGTCATTGGTGGCGTCGATCTCGCTTCGGAGAGCGGGAGGGTACAGGTCGACGTTCTTGTATTTTTCGGGAAGGAGATCATCGAATTCGTAGTAGAACATGCGAATGATCTCAGCACTCTGTTCAAATGTTCAAGTCAGTAAGCGTTCAGGCGACAGGGGATAGAGTGGATATCAACATACCTCATTGCTCACGATGCGTTGCGTCTTCTTATCAAATAGCACTGGGACGGTGAATCTTCCAGTATAATCGGGATCATTGGAGAAGTATATGGCACGCAGATGCGTGAAATCAGGATGCAACGGGTCTGGGGTGACATTCTCTCCTGCAACCTCTTCGTTGGCTGTTGCAAAGCGCCAGCCTTTCCAGCAGAAGATATTAGCTTCGTTCTTTAGCGGCGTCAAATCTGGAAATCCATACCATTTTCGCCCAAATGCCAGTGGACTGATGTAAACGAGATGATATCCTCGAGACCCTTGAGCTTCCGTGTGATCAATGTCCGGTGTGCTGCGTCATGAGAAGGGTGTTAGCCGTCGTGTCTTACACTTGAGCAACGGAGAAGTCTTCAAGACAAAGCGCACCCCAAGGACAGGCATATGAGACATAAAGATGATAGCGATCTTTCTCCGGAGGAAATTGAGCGCCAGGCTCCCTGGAGATGAAGTTGCGGAACACCGATTGCTGCCGCTTGAATTCGCCCGACTTGTCTTTGGGGTCTACCCAATCGGTAATTTTGCCTGTATTGCCTGTCTGTTTGGCAAGGAGCATAGGTCAATTAAATGCCTTTTGAGACATATCGAATGAGAGTCGAGAGCTTACGGTCATTTTGCGGATTGGAAAAAGAGGTTGTCTGAGGATATTGGAGCTTCCGTAGGTGGACAGGGAACTGCGAAACCCGGCAGTTGTTATGAACCTCGAGATATGTCGCGAGACCAGTTGGGTTTGAGGGAGCGCAGCAAGCATGAGATATTACCGAGAATTCCAGTATAATCAAAGAGAGGAAATGACGCCTTTAATAGATAATGGGTTGCTATCTCGATGGTTGTGGTGCGGGGGAACAATGACGTTTGCTTACTGAGTGCTTACGGATGGATCGCATAAACTCTGACAAAGCTTCCCATAGAGCACCCTCATTTCTAACAGTACTACTATGTGGAAGCCAGAAGTATCACTATTTATTAATGACAACAAATTGTATATTTTTGTTTCTAAACTGGTGACAGCGTGCTGTAAATAAGACTTCTAACATAGGTCGTGTCCGCATATCGGTTTCTGCGCAGGCATTCCATCTACTTCTGAAGTTTTACCATAACGTAGGGAATTTCAACATCCTCCTCATTTTGATCCTCTGCAGTCACCTCGAAGATGATGTTCTTTTGGTGTTCTGGGACAGGCTTCTTGCTAATATGCTCCACGAGCTTGCTCATCCTAGGCAAATAATGTTAGTCGATCTTTCTAGAGCGATGTTTAAAGGGTGATACATACTTCATAGGAAGTCGGTCTTTGACCTTAGATGGGGGGTAAAAACTGGCATACAGCAGACTGACTCCTGAGCTCACCATGCTAATCTCCAAGCCCAGGTCTGAGAAGTGCTTGAGGAAGTCTTGTAGAGGAATGTCGTCGAGTTCGAAACGGTCCCAAAGTCGATCGAGGGTCACCTCACCTTGCTTGCCCATGTACTTGCCCTTTGGACTGGCTATGGGCTCACTGAAGCCAAAGAACGGGAGAGCGAGGTTCACGAAGCCGTTCTTGTACTGCTCAATATCATCCTTGCCATCGATGATCTTGTAGAGCTCCAGAGCAACCAAGCCTGTGACCAATGCGGTAGTTGTGGCAATGGCCGGAATGATCTTACCGGCAATGAACTTGGTTTTGTGGCGGTCAGCCTGGGGAATATCATAGTTGTCCGCGCGGAGGTTGCTAGCGGCGGTGATGAAGTCGATGTGATGGTTTGTATCGTCATCCTTCTCGAATTCAACGGGGTTCAAGCGGAATCCGGAGAGGGATTCGGGAGAAGGCAGAGACTCAACGAGGCGCTGAATCTCTTGACCGTCATCAAGGGATGAAGACTGCTGAGCATTCGGGTCGGGCTCATTCTCATCGGCCTGAATTTTGACGCCGGAGCTTGGGGTAAATTCAGGAATGATCATGTTGTCCACAACCTTTCTGTAGTACTCTTTGTCTACGCCGGGGTTCTTGATTCCATAGTTGAAGGCATGGAGATTTGCGCCGGCAACAATGAATGCTAGGTGAGTTGGGTTCGAGCTATCGAACTTTAGGGGGGTTGGGGCACGCTTCGGCCCAGACCAGAAAGGTTGACCAGAAGAGGTCTTGGAGTCTCGAGGAAAGTTGTAGAGAAGTTGTTGAATTGCATTGTTGTACTGAGCCTCAAACTGCTGGCGAGCCCAGACAATGCAATCATCAAAGGAAGTTGGTTTGTTGGTTACCAAGAAATCCCGGAGGTGCTCCAAAGTCTGCTTCTCATTTCCAGCCTGCTTGAGCGTCTGCTCGATATAATTTGGCTGGGACAGATACATGTTCACAGCCTCAGGGGGTCCGACAAAGTAAGTCTGGAAGAGATCCCGTGCCCAGGCAATTGTGTGTTCAATTCTGTTGGGGAAGCTCTTCAATGTGCACATTGGGAACGACTTTTCTGGGGGATCCTGAGAGCTCGAGTAGGATTCGGTGATATGGGGCAAAATGACCTGAGTGTTGCCTTTCGTACCAAGGGTACCGCTTTCAAGCAGAGGCTTGCGGAAGAAAACACAGCGACGATCAACATAAGTCCTTGCGTCCACGTTGTCCAGGGCGTTGGTCACACCATCCAGAGCTTCCCAAAATTCTTCGTTGAAAATGTGTTCGGTGTCGGGCCCGACCCGGTCTCGAAGTGTCACGATTTTACCGTTCAGGTCGGGGTTCATCGCCTGTGCCGCAGCAGAAGCGCATTCACTCTTGAGCTTCCCAACGTCTTTAGAACGGAACAGGAATTGTCTGTTGAGGTTGCTCCTTTCAATCTGATCCATGTCGGTGACGAAGATCTTGCCCTTGGGACCAGTTCCAAGACCCATCATGGCCCAGTTCTTCAAAGTCTCGCACCCAATGGCTCCCGCACCAACAAGGAACTGTGTGAGATTGGCTATCTTTGCTTGAAATTCCTTGCCGAAGACGGCAATTTGCCCGTCGTAGCGAGTGCCAAGTGGTTTGCAGCTCTCTTCGGAACGGGTGACAGATGTCGGCAGCGACTCCAGGGAGTCGAGGTAGAGCCATTGATGAACAGGGTTGAACTTTCCGGAGACGGCCTTGAGAACTTCCTGGGCTGCAACACCTCCAAAGAAAGCGGCCAAGGGGTTGAGATCTCCGCGAGCCTGGTAGCTCAGTTCTCTGATAATTTTCTCGTCCAATTCCACCTTTTCTTCCTGGCTTGATGCGAGTTCATTCGCAATCTTAAGCACTTCCTGGGCGTCACTGTCATTGTGGGGGCGAGGGAATTGGCCATCATGAGCCTCAGCGAATCTGTGGAGCGCTTGAACTCCGACGTGTAGTTGCTGCGGCCGGTCGAACTTGGCAAAGTCAGAGACCATGAGCTCAGGCTTCTTAAGCTGTTCACTGAATGGCTCAAAGTCGACGAACTTAGGCATCTTGACCTGCGTGAAGATACCGCCGCCCTGATACGTGCCTAGGCCCGAGACGTCCCCAATGGAGAATGTATAAGGACCCTTGACAGTAATCTTCCGTGGGTCGCAATTGTTCAGCCCTTCCATACCCTTGACCTCAGTAAATGTCACGTAATCCCCGTCTTCGAGGCCATGGCGAGTCTCGTCCAACGCAGAAACTAAGCCATCTTCGTCAATGTCGGCAACGATACCGCTGACGGGCTCTTCACCCGTAGCATCCCCAACGGTAAAGTTCTTCCCGAAATCATTGAAGATGTATCCAAAGAGACCAAATGTGTCGGTGATGGTGATGTAGATGCCGTTCTTGTGGCAGAAATCAGCGATAGCAAGCTGTTCCTTCAGAGGGGTTGTAGTGAGAACCACTGCCTGATATTGTTTCAGTTGCTCGAGATCATCCACCAAGTTGCTTCCCTTATGAACGGTAACGGGCACGTACGAGTTCAGCTCTGCGACCCTCGGAGCTGTTACCTCGGCCCTTGGTTTCCCGACATCTTGTGGTTGAAGGAAGAACTGTGAGGATAGGTCGGAGATAACGACTGGCGCAGGATCGTATAGCGTGAGGGACTTCACACCGGCAAGGGCAATGTTCTTGGCTGATAGAGGTTGTCAGTCGTTGACCGTACTTCTCAAACCAGTTATTGTACTCACCGATCTCCACACCAAGACCCTTCAGACCAACAACAAGAACATTCGACGAGCCCATACGTTTCATAGCCTCATGGCCGAGGACGTACCTAGAAACCAATTAATATCAGAGAATTCCATCAAGGCGGAACGGGATCAACATACAGTTGACGACTGTACAAAGACTCATCGATTTCTCCCTGTTTGATCTTCTCCACCGTCTCCTGCGGGTTATCAAGTTGCATATTGGAGTCCTAGAGGCAGACATAACTCAGTACCTTCCCCGCGCCGTACAAGATCAGTGATCATTGATGAGATAGCATACCGTCATGATCTTCTTTTCAGGCGGAGTTGCTGCTTGGTCGCAGGACGCTCTACGCTTTGCCAGCTTCGCAGCGTCACGAACAGGTAGTTCTGAAGGAATTGTGAAGGATTATAGGTGAAAGTCCTGCCTTTGAGCAAGACTTTCTAGCAGTATCGACTCGTGTCTACCACACCTGGTGAAGACTAAAATGCGGGAGCGCTTAGAATGTCGCTCAAGATGGGAAGTACAGCTAGAAGGAACTGTGCAGAGCTTTAAATCGAAGGAGAAATTGTGTCGTCTTGGAAATTTTGGAACTGTCGAGGTAGATGATGGATTTACAAAGCAGAGAATCGTGGATGACCAAGCAAAGAGGCAAGAAGGATGTCCCTCAGTTGGCGACGTAAGAGGGACAAGCTGTTGATGGCTGACTCAGCAGCTTCCTGAGCTGTGATTGGCCATAGCCCCGCGAGGAGGTCCTAGGATAAAGAAGCATTGCCAGCGGAACCTCTGATGAAGAGGAAAAAGTACCTAGAAGTGATGGTGATGACAGCCGCGTGGGCGGATTCAGGCTGCCATAAGTCCATGATGCGTATACTGGATGATTGACTTAACCCAGCGGTGCCTACACCCATTCCTTGAGTGACATTGATTTGGCTCCTCCACAATCTCCGCGGTCACATCAGTTTCCGACGACGCGTCGTGAAACTCAGTTTCAAGGACACGCACTTGTCTTTACTCTTGATTTTATGTGTCGCTACGAGCTTCTCGGCCGAGGACTATTGTATTGGCAGCGTCGAAAGTCCAAAGCAGATAGAAAGCCATCATCAAGGTCGGTCATACTTGTAGGCACAAAGCTCTTTAGGCCACTTCCTCTAACCTTGAGACAGTGGACTCCAGCCAGAATGCTCCACGAGGTCCTACTCTCACTCTCAGGCCAACCGTCCCCTCTCTTCGCTTTCAGTTCAGAAGAAGATGTCGTCTCTGAGAATGCTTTTCCACTGTCCCCTCCGGAGAAAGCCCTCCTCACATCGCTTGCCCGTTTGAGTAGACTCCATGCCAGACTTCGAGAACACACGGCTCTGATATCGTCTTCACATCCTTCGATCATCTGCCGTGCTGTTTCCTCAGCTATAAACGCTCATCATTTAGGAGGTTTTCAGAGGAAGATCTTGGAAGTCGAGAAGGCAATTTTGGCCGAGGATAGTGCATATGTTGGCGGTTAT